ATCCCAAGGTTTTGGGAAACCCTGTGAGGCGGCTCTAAGTATTCCAACATCTAGAGCTTCTAAATACGCCTCCATGCGGATTTTCCAATATAGAAAATCATCCCCCTCAAAGATAGGAGGAGGACCATCCCCGTGAGACATCTTTCTCTAGACGGTTAAGTCTAAATATGTGAGCACGAGGCTCTGATACCAATTGAAAGGATCAAGATGCCCAAAAGGGGGGTGAATTGGGCTAATTCTAAATTTCTTTGCAATAATTAATCCCTATGGTTAGCCCAATTAACCCCTTGTGCCTAGAAAATGTTTCTATTAATCTACCACACAAAAGTTTAGCAACCTATGTTCCAATCCTACTCTAGCATGGCAATTCTATGAATGTAAATAACAAGAATTGAATTGCTCAAAGTAAAGAGAGAAGGAGGAACGCGACGATGTTTTGCCGAGGTATCGGAGAGTCACCACTCCCCACTAGTCCTCGTTGGAGCACCCGCGCAAGGGTGTAGCTCCCCCTTGATCCGCGCAAGGATCAAGTGCTCTCTACGGGTTGATTCTTCGACACTCCGTCGTGGTGAATCACCCACAACCGCTCACAACTTAAGTTGGGTCATCCACAAGCTCCGTCGGATGATCACCAAACTCCCAATCACCACCAAGCCATCTAGGTGATGGCGATCACCAAGAGTAACAAGCACGAACTCTCACTTGACCACGACAAGCCTAATGAGAAGGGTGGATGCACACTTTGCTACTCTTGCTTTCACTAATGAGGGCTCTCTTTAGGATTCTCAAATCTCAATCACCTCACTAGGACCTTGCTCTTCTTGGCACTCTCAAAGGTGTTTCGTAGCTGTTCAAATGAGCAAAAGTACCCCCACACACGAATGGAGAAAGTATTTATAACCCCAGTTGAAAAACAAACCGTTATGTGCCTCTACGGGGTGATCGGACGCTCCGATCATGTTGACCGAACGCTCCCGTCAGTTCTCCCCGAAATCCAGTGTTTAAGTTGTGACCGGACGCGTCCGGTCACGTTTTTCCCTCTCTAGAACCTTACTGGAGTCGACCATACGTTGGCACCTAGCATCCGGTCACTCACCTCTCAGCGTCCGGTCGCACCAGACAAGATCACCTTGATCAGATGAACTGACTGGACTCTGAGCCAGCGTCCGGTCAACATTTGACCCTCCATTCACTTCCAACTCTAAATCATATGTGAATGAAGTTTGCTCCAATTGATCTAAGGACTTTTTAGGAGCTACCTATTGCTAGATTTAGCAAGTGTGCACCACACCTAACCCACTAGACTCACCTAGGTCAAGCTACCCATCCATACCCCCCTTAATAGTACGACCAAAGGAAAAACAAAGTCCTAAACTACTCTAAGTGTCTCTTCAACACCAAACGACACTTAGAACTAGTCCATCCTTAACCTTGTCGTCCATCCTTTGAAAACCGAAACAATTTCCATCGTAGGGGCATGACAACCATGATTGCCCAATCAATCTCCATTACCGTGACCTAACTTAATTGCCTTTGCAAAACAAACGTTAGTCACAGTAATCACGCATTGTCATTAATCACCGAAACCTAACTAGGGGCCTAGATGCTTTCAGTCGGGACAATGAGCTCTTGGCCTGTTGTGTCGCCGCACGCTCGAGTAGCGTGCGAATTTCGTGATGGGCCCAACAATCCTCGGGCATCGTGGGCCCCAGAAGTCCTCGGAGCAAGGCCGCTGCGGCGACGATGTTCTGGCTTGCCCGGGTGAAGTGTGGGAGGGCTTCATCGTCCTCGATGATCCTCCGGTTCATGTCATGAGCCACGGCGCGTGCACGCCCACCGTCTCCGTGGCGCTCGATCTCTCGCTCGAGCTCCGCGCATTCCTGCTCGAGCTGGAGTCATGCTTCCTCGAGCTCTTGGTGCCGGGCCTTCAGCTGCTCTACCCGCAGGCGAGGTGGGGCCCGTGCATCACTCTCGACCTTGTTGTCAAAGTCGTTCGTTGGGGTAGCCTCTCCCTCATGGATGCTTTTTGACGTGTCCCTCGCGGGTACCTGCCATGAAACATTCACGAGAGGGGTGATGGCTCCCCCTGCTGGAGTCAGAGCTGGAGGGTGACTCCGATTCTCCTACGAGGAGATCGTGGAAAGATTTCGTGACATATTCGGTCATCCCTACAAACTCGTCGTTCGTAGGGGATGGTGGAGTGTGTTGCGCCACAAGGTGGCCAACGGTCTCTGCGGCGTTGCGCAGACCGGACAGGAGCGTCATCGAGGTGCTCTGAACGAGGTATTTCGGGGATATTGGCTCTCCTCCGGCAAGCTACGTCACGACGTTGGCGAACAAGAAGGTGAGGTGGTGCAGGTCCTCCCGGGACGGTCGGGGTCCCAGGAAGGCGCCCAGCTGGCGCTCTAGCCTCCCATAATCGAAGTCGAGGAGCTGGTCGCTCCCGGGGGCGCAGACCTCCGGTGCGTGCAGCTGTAGCTCCTCAAGTGCCTCGGTGATCGCGTTGAGGCCGGTGGAGTGGAGAGGTTGGACGGCGGTGGGAGACTGCGCCAACTCTCCCTCCGTTGTGATGATAAAGTCCAGGTTCCCGAAGTGCACGTGCGCGTCCAGGACCCAGCTGACGCCATGACTAGCCATTTGAGGCCTGGTGTGGATGTCGAGACGCGCAAAAGGCCCCTACCTGACGCGCCAACTGTCGGTGTTTCGAGTTACCAACTAGTAAATTTTTAGTATTGCGCGTCTAGCTCGGATGGTGTGCTTAGAGGACACGAGATTTATACTGGTTCGGGAAGAAAGTCCCTACGTCCATTTCGTCATTGCTGCTCGTGTTACTAGCACTGAAAGTTTATAGTAGGGGTTCCAAACGAGCGAGAGAGGGACATGTTCCAAGTCTCTGATGTGCGTGTGCTCCCAAGGCGTGTTAGGGCGTGTGTTTTGATGTCTACAGCCATGTAGAGTAGTGAACCGCCCTCTTCCTGGGACGTCCTGCTTTCCCTTTTATAGACAAAGGGGAAGAGCAGGTTACACAGAGAAAAAGAGAGAGAAGAGCCATGGAGAGGAAGGCTTTTAGGACCGCCGGGCCTTTCTTTTCCTTTATGTGGGTCCCACTGACACTACAGATGGTGACAGGGACGGCTCCACGTCGGGCGCCTGTTCGTCGCTGATGCCACGCCTCGGCGTTGTCAGCGGGTCGTGACGTCCCATTCCGTCCCGATGGGCGACGCGGTGAACCAGCGTGCTGGTCAGCGGCCGTATAGGGAGTAGGCAGCACAGTGACCACGCGTCCGTCACTGTTGATGATGTGAGTTCCCTGGAGTGACATGTCGTGGGCACGGGTCATGTTGAGATGTGCCCGCTCCCTGCACGATGCCAGAAGTTTGACCTTGGGTTGTACTTTCTGGCCCGTAGTGGTTGGCGGCGGTACGGGCTTCCGTCAGAAGCCGTGCCTGAGGGGTCGGGCGAGATGGAGCCCCCGACCCAGAGGTCAGGCGAGGCGGAGCCCCCGACCTAGAGGTCGGGCGAGGCGGGGGCCCCGACCCAGAGGTCGGGCGAGGCGAAGCCCACGCACTTGGGGGTCGGTTGGAGCTGTAGTCGCACTCTTGACTGCTCGAATGAATCAATGTTGATGACCATTAGCTCCTCTTCGGGTACCCTAGTATTGGTCCCCGACAGTAATGGTCCTAAGGTGGAGGAGAGAAAAGAGTGAGCCATCCTACTTTCAAACGAGTCACTCCAAGCAAGTATAGCAATCCTAAGATGGAGGATAGAAAAGAAAAGCAAGCCATCCTATCCTCAAACGAGCCACTCCAAGCAAGTATAGCAATAGGTTGTTGTGGACTATATCCTAAGGTGGAGGAGATAAAAGAGAAGCGAGCCATCCTATCCTCAAACGAGCCACTCCAAGCAAGTATGGCAATAGGTTGTTGGTGAACAACATACTAAGGTGGAGGAAATAAAAGAGAAGCGAGCTGTAAGTTTAATGTGAAACCTAGAAATTTTACTAGTCCATAAATGAAATTTACATGCAGCCGTTGCTCTCATTTCTCACTCTTCTCTCACCCATGTACCCGACTCTCCACTTCTCACGCAGTCTGGGCAACGAGAGGAGAGATTGAGACAGTGGTAGATAGTTGGGCAGGAGTGACTTTTTCGCCAAACTGTAGTACTTTTTAGTTCAGTCCCCGTTTCCTATTTACCACTAAGCTTGGCTTCACTAACAATTAGTCCTTTTAGCTCATATGTTTGAGTTCTAAATTAGTTAACTAGTTTGTCTCGTGAAGTCTTCGTCTAACTAAAATTTAGATGAATAAAGTTTTAGACAACTTAATTTATATCGTGTGCTCTTTGAACACTTATTAGTCTATGAATCTTCTAAAATTAAACTTCTAGGTGACTAAATCTTATCCGATAATCCAATCAGCATACAGGAAGCCATAAAAGATAAATAATAAATGGAGGACACTAGAGTTGGCAATCATTCCACTGACAGACACGGCACTCGAAAGCACATTGAGATTAACCATGTTTTTCTACCATGCCACCTCCATACCATATCACATTCTCCATACATATCACATTGTGGAGCAAGAAGGGGAGCCATGAGAGCCACCTTCTTGAGCTACTACTATTATATAAACCCATGAACAACAACCACTATTGATAATTACTACTATACCTACCTTCGCCTTCAAGGAAGTTGTTTTTTTTCCCCTTTAGTCCAAAGAAAGTAAAGGTGAAAAATAAGCTAGAAAAAAGAAGAGAAATACTAGTAGTGAAAAGGAAAAGAAAAAGAAAAAAGGGGAGGGGGGCCATTCTAGTTGCTGCTTCTACTAGCTTCTCATGTCATGTCTCATGTATACTGAGATCCAATCCAGGGACTTTGTTTCAACCATGGTGACGCTGACCCATGATCGATCACCTTTGACCTCGCTCTTTCCCGCCTTCGGAAGAATGACAGGCAGGAGAAAAAGCTTGGCAGGCCGCAGCGACCTTTGACATGATCACATCACCGTGCAGCTGTTGGGGTTCTCGTCGCTGAACATGTTGTCGTGCGGGTGCCGCTGCGGCATCGGGTGGTAGTAGTACGGCGGCGGCGGGTACTGCATCGCCGGCCGGCCGTACCCGTACCCCATCGCCGGGTACCCGCCGGGGCCATTCATCTGCTGCTGCTGCTGCATCATCGCCATGTACTGCTGCTGCTGCGCCTGCGCCATGGCCATGGGGTTCCCTGCCGCCTGCATCATCTCCGGCGGCCCGGACGGCATGCCACCGCCACCGACTACTGCACCGCCGCCTTGGTAGAACCCAGCAGCTCCAGGCATGGCGCCGGCTGGCATGCCATGAACGGCACCGCCACCGCCACCGCCAGGCTGCATCTGCTGCATGCCATTGCCACCCCCACCCATGTGCGGGTGGTGGTGGCCCATCGGCGTGCCGCCCATCAGGCCCATGGCCTGCCCCATGCCACCAGGGAAACCGGCGCCGCCCATCATGCTCGGCGGCCTCATCATCATGCCGGGGCCCGGTTGCTGCTGCTGCTGATGCTGCGGCGGCGGTGGCATTGCCATGCCGCCCATCATCGGGGCGCCGGCACCGGCAGGCTGCCCACCGCCGCCTCCCTTCTTGCCCTGCTGACCCTGCTGGTTCCCGCTCCCGCCGCCCTTGCCGTTCTGCGGCGCCTGCGAGTCGCCACCGTTCTTCCCGCCTCCGCCGCCGCCTCCCTGGTTCTGCTTCGCGCCCGAGTCCTTCTTGCCGCCGCCGCCGTTGTGCGCGTTGCCCTTCATCTGCACGGGGATCTCGTTCCCGCCACCGCCGCCCTTCTTGCCACCCTTCTTGTCGCCCCCGGCCGCGGCCGGCGGCATGGCGACGGGCTTCATCGTCATCTTGGGGTCGCCGTACAGGTCGTCGTCGTCGAAGCCGTCGTCCTCGAAATCGTCCTCATCGTCGAAGTCGTCGAACTCGTCGTCAAACTCGCTGCCGTCGTCCGCGAACTCGTCCTCCTCGGGGTAGCTGAACTTGACGGCCTTGGGGTCCTTGGCCGCCGCCGGCGCGGGCGTGACCGCCGGGAACGGCGGCATCTTGCCGCCGCCCATACTCATGAGGAGCTCAGGAGGCAGCTTCATGCCCTTCATCTGCATCAGCTGCTGCATCTGCTGTGGCGTCGGCTGCGGCAGCATCATCTTCGCGTCTTTCCCGCCAGCGCCGCCGCCGCCGCCACCACCGCCCTTGGTCTGCTGGCCCTTGCCGCCGCCACCCTTGGGCTGCTGGCCCTTGCCTCCACCGTCACCACCCTTGGGCTGCTTGTCCTTCCCACCGCCGCCGCCACCAAGCTGCAGCTTCTGGAGCTGGCTAACCACGCCAGGCTTGGCGCCCCACAGCTGCGCCGGCTTGCCGGCCTTGTTTAGCTTCTTGATGACGGTGGCCGGATCCATGAGGCCGGACACCGTCACCTTCCCCTGCTCCGCATCTATGCTGCTCTGGTACACACCTGCAGATCAGCCCAGCACTTTTCATTTCTCTTACTCTACTTAATAAGAGATTAGGTAAAAAATAAGCTTTTTTTTAGAATAGAAGAAGAACAAAGCAGCAAAGCTGAACAGACACTGGCGAGCAGCGAGCACAACTGCACGACAGAACAGAACAGGAAACAAAATAAATGAAGCAATTGGGCTTAAAAAATGCTTGTTCGTTACCATCAATCTTGTGGAGGATCTTCTTGACCTTCTTATCGCACCCATCGCAGTGAATATTCACTTTCAGCACGCAGGTCTGGGAACCAACCAACCAACAGAAGAATGTTCAGAGAAACTGAACAGCAAGAGACATGACATGCACACTGTGTGTGTGATGAAAATCGCAGCAGACACAAGAAACGACATGAACATGGAAGATGTGTTCGTGCGTGTGTGTGTGTGTAGTTGAGTCGGCAAGAAGCAAAGCAGAGCAAACTCTCCACTCACCTGCACCTTGAGCACGTCCTCCTTGCTCATCTTTGAGTCGGCCACCTCAGATGCTGCAGCCAGCAAACAGCAAACGCACAACAAGAGGCTTCATATCTGGTTTGGAAACACTCAAATCAGGGAGCTAGAGAGGAACAAGAACAAAGAACAGCAGCATCCAGGAAACATTTCCCATCCGTCTCTGAGAAGACACAGTGTGCGTGTGTGTGTGTGAGAGAGAGAGAGGAAGAAGAGGATTAATGGCTTTGCAATAAAATACTGTCCTTCACACAGACACACACTAATATAGAGAGAGAAGAAGCAGATCCTCGTGGTTTTACAAAGCCATGAGCAAGGCTCACGAAGCGCCTGCCTGCCTGCGGTGTGGTCCAGAGGAGGAAGAAGGAAGATAGAAAGAAAGATGGTAGACACAAGGAGGAAGAAGAGACTCGCTTTCGCCTCCAACTCAACTCAACTCCATCTACAACAAAGCTAAGCACATGGATGGTGCTTACCAAGCTTTTATTTGCTTGAGAGAGCGAGAGATGGATCGCCTGCCTTTGGAAGGAAGCCTTTGCTCTAGCTCTGCTTCTTCAGCGGCAGCTTGTGAATAATGGTTGGTTGGTGCTTGTGCAAAAGACGGGGCAGCGAAAGAGGCCGGAGGGAATTTAAATAGAGTGGCCTTGTCAGCAAGTACAGGGAGAGAACGGGAGAGGTGTGTTGTTGAGCGAGCCTGACTGAGCATGCATGTGAGTGAGGTACATACTGAGATACTCCCAGTACTGCTCAGGTAGGAGTACGTATTATACTCCAGTAGAGAATACACTTAGAGATGTCGTTATACTAAATAGTAGTAGCAGTAGTAGTAGTAGGGCCTACGGTGAGAGACCGATCACCGATGTTGTGCTGCATGAGCGGGGGCCACGGTGAGCAGAGGCAGCAGCACTGAATCAGGCAGGGGCAGGCAGACGCCATGTGACCCTTGTCTCCCGGCCGTCCTCCTCCTCGAATTCCTATAGCTGCTGGCTGCTGCTACCTTTACCTGCTGCTCTCCTCTCTGCACTGTATCCGCCATGCAAAAGTTCCATGCTTTCCCACGAGCACACAGGGGGAGGCCGAGCGGAGCACCAAGCGCACGGCAATGCCAAGGTTCTAACGGCCGGGCGCCGTCATGGGCGTGTCATCTTCTCCTCTCCTCCCAAAGGTTCAGTTCAGTTCAGCTTTCTTTCCCTCCTCCATCCACGTGAATGAAGAACGAAGCACAGCTGCACAGCACAAAGTGAATGGTGATCAATCAGTTTACTACCCTCCACACTGATCGATAAAAAGGGAGGCAAGGCAAGGATAGATACATGATGCTTCCAGTTTTATCCTCCAGCAGAAGCAGGGCACAGTGGTCTTTCTGGGGTTGTTTCCCTCTACAAGCTTCAGATTCCAGGACTTATTTAAATTCAGGATGTAAAATTTTAGGGTGTCACATCGAGTGTTATGTGGGGGTGTTATATGGATGCTCGAATACTAATAAAAAAACAATTATAGAATTAATCAGTAAACCACGAGACGAATTTATTAAACCTAATTAATCCGTCATTAGCTCGTGTGTTACTGTAGCACCACATTATCAAATCATGAACTACTTAGGCATAAAAGATTCGTCTCGCAAAAGTAGTTACATTCTGTGTAATTAGTAGGGTCTGTTCGCTTGAACTTATCAGCCGGTTTATCGGCTAGAATCTATAGTATTTTTCTCTCACAATAAAACAGCTTCGGCAGTCGGCTTATTAGCCGGCTTTAATATCAGCCGAACAGGTTATATTTTTATATTTTTTTAGTCTATATTTAATACTTCATATATATGTTCAAATGTTCGATGGGATATGATGTCAATTTTTGGAGACTAAACAATGGCTTACATAGCAAAACGTTTCATAAGCAGCATCCTTTCTGCTCACCTTTGCGCGGCATGGCATAGCAATGGCAGGCACAACCTAACATTCTACGTGAACAGCACATGTTCCTCTCCAGTCTCCACTGTCCCCTATCTTTCTTAGATCCTATTTGGTATAACTTTTCTGGAAAGTCTTTCAGAGAGAAGCTACAGTTAAAAACTCAAAATAAACAGGTACTACCAACTTCTTCCTTTTAGTACAAAGGGAGGCGGTGGACATAAACACGAAGAGAATATGCTCCATAAATGCTTATGGTTTGATTGTTGCATTCAGTTTGTTTTGGTCACAGACAGCATATAGAGAAAATTCCTTCACTGCCACCAAAAACTATAACGATCCCTTCGTTGTCATTCAAAATTACATGTTCCCTTCGTTGCCATCAGTTTTAGATTTTCGTTTCCGTCGTTGCCACTGCTGTTACAGAGGAGTCACGGCGTGACTTCGCTCCCACGCGCCATCACCGCCCTCCCGCTCCGCTACACACTGCACGTCACGTCGTCTCTCTCTCTCCACGGCGTCCTTGCGCGGTCGTGCATTCGGGCAGCGGCGCTGACCGGCCAGCGGCCTGCGTCCGGTGCGCGCGTCGCGTGCTCAGCGCGGTTGCAGCGGCGGCGCGGCTCTGCACCAGCCGGCAGCGGCGGTGGCGCGTCGCGTTCTGGCGAGGGGACCGCGGGTGCGGCCAACCGGGGGGGAAAGGGAGTTCTAGGTGCTCAGCTAGCGTCGACCGGCTGGTCGGTTGGCGCAGAGAAGATGCGAAGGCGGCTGTCCACGTGCGCTGCGAGGCTGCCAGCACGCGGCGACGGTGATGATGGCGTTCCCGGCGCAGCGAGGAGCCCTGGAGGTCGTGGCCACCGTGGAGGCCGCGGCGGCGAAGTGGTTGCGCGCCGAGGAGGAGATCTAGCGGATGGGCCGCCTCAACAACTCGGCGCTCGAGGAACGGGTGAAGAGCCTCTACGTCGAGGCGCAGGTGTGGCGCGACCTGGCGCAGTTGAAAGGGTCGAGATGGCGACTAGAGTGGGGTGAATAGTCATTTTTAAAATTAATCGCGTTGGCTAACCGAAACAAGTGCGGAATTAAAACTATCGGTCTAGCCAAGACAACACCCCTCTATTTATGTTCTCTAGCACCTTCCAAAGATACTAATTAAGCAACTAAGGTGTAGGGCTAGCTAGAACTCTTCTAACCAATTCTAGGAACAAGGTCACATAAACCTATGCCACTAGTACTTTAAGCAACAAGGGAGCTCCTACACATGCTAGTAAGCAAAAGCACAAAGCCACCTAAGCTCACTAGCAATGCTCAATAACAAGAAAACCAATACCAAATTAGAGAGTGCAATTAATTAGCTACACAAACTAAGCAATGTGACTAACAAGGTTACACAAACAAAATTAGCCACGCAAGGGAGCTACTTATATGCTACACAAGCAAGAAGGTAACTAGCAAACTACACAAGTTAACTAATTACAAAAGCAACAACACAAGCTCAATGTATATGAAAGTAATTGCAAGCTTGTGTAACGGGGATACAAACCAACGGGAAGAATAAGGTTGACACGATGATTTTTCACCCGAGGTTCACGTGTTTGCCAAGACCCTAGTCCCCGTTGTGTCGACTGCTCACTTGGTGGTTCGGTAGCTAATTGGCATCACCTGCCAAGCCCGCATGTCGGGCACCGCAAGAACCTACCCCAAAAGTGAGGGTAGCTCAATGACACGCTCAACTAGAGTTGTTCTTTGTGGCTCCCACGGGGCGAGCACAATACCCCTCACAAAGCTCTTCTCTGGAGCACCGCACAAGCTTCTTGTGGGCTTCGACGGAGACCACCACCAAGCCATCTAGGAGGTGGCAACCTCCAAGAGTAACAAGCACCACCGGCTTGCAACTCGATCACCTAGTGCCACTCGATGCAACCTCACGATGTAATCGCACTAGAATCGCTCTCTCACACAATCGGATGATCACTATCAAGCATATGTGAGATGGACTCCCAAGCACTACCACACAAGCCACCAAGGCTCTAGTGTCCTCAGCTACCGGCCCAAGGCCGACCATGGCTTCTATTTATAACCCCACGAACAAATAGAGCCATTACCCCTTCACTGGGCAAAAGTCGGGTTGACTAGACGCTCCGGTCATGTTGACCGGACGCTGGATCTCAGCGTCCGGTCACTCGATGATAGCCACGTGTCACCTGCTTCAAATACAGTACGCCCGATCTCAATGGTCATATGACGATCGAACGCAGCAGCTTCCACTGACCGGACGCTAAGCCTCCAGCGTCCGGTCGTTTCCAGTAAGGTTCCAGAAATGACATTTCACGACCGGACGCGTCCGGTCGATCGCGATCGGACGCAGCACCAGTGTCCGGTCACTCTCCAGCTTCTGCTCTGCCTGCGTCACTATACGTCAGCTCTGACCGGACGCACACAGCCAGCTCCGGTCACTGCGTGACCAAAGTCCGGTCCACTCTGTGGGACCTTTCTCACCTCTGTTTTCATCACCGAGTTGATCCACATCAACTCCAACTTCATCTCCTTTGTAAATGTGCCAACACCACCAAGTGTACATCATCATGTGTATGTGTGTTTGCATTTTCACAATCATTTTCCAAAGGATTAGCCACTCAACTTGCCACGCCACTCAATCCTAGCGACGATGCAAAGTTAGATTACTCGAGTGGTACTAGATGACCGATATGCAAACAAGTTTGTCCCTCTTGATAGTACGGCCATCTATCCTAAACCCGGTCATCAACTTCTCTACACACCTATGACCGGTGAAATAAAATACTCTAGGTTATACCTTTGCCTTGCGCATTCCATTCCATCTTCTCCAATGTTGATGCAACACATGCACCAACATGATCAACAATGATATGATCCACTTCATATCATCACGTGATCTTGTTGGTTCATCAATCTTGACCTCACATGCTTTTCATCGTTGCCTTCATCCATCGGCGCCAAGTCTTGCTCAAGCTTCACTGCCACGCGGTCCATCGCTCCAAAGCCTCCAACTTGCCCTTCACGCTTGCAACCGGTCCATCAAGCCAAGTCATGTCTTGATCTTCTCCACCTTGATCACATGACTCAATGTCATGTCTCATTTGCAATGAGCTCCTTCATCATCACATGTGTGAGCTTTGCAACATCTCCAAGCCATTTTCACCTTCATGGAATATGTTGCTCACACACATGTTCCTATGGACTAATCACCTGTGTATCTCATATAAACACAATTAGTCCACCTAGGTTGTCACTCAATTACCAAAACCACACAAGGACCTTTCAATCTCCCACTTTTTGGTAATTGATGACAACTCTACAAAGATATGGAAATTAAGCTCTTTTGGATTTATGTTGCTTGCCCAAGCAATTTTACCATGTGAAAATGATTTTGGACAAGTACCACAAACCCGAGATGGTAGTATTAGCTCCCCCTACATATGTGCTAGAGTGTTTGATTTGAAGCTCGCACATATGCATTGATTGAAAATGTGGGAGAGTAATTACTACTAAATGATGCTAAGGTGTATAGAGTAAACCTTTGAAGCGTGATACCAATCGGAGTTGCACCTTTTAGTTCATCCTTAGCACCATGGTTAGCTAGATATCTCTTGGAAATAAAATCACTAGATACCTCATGAGATCAACATTAAAAGCAAGGTACTAGCATTATTTGTAAATCATACCAAGTGTCTAGTTATCATCCTATGCATGCTAGTTTTTATTTCATCAATCAAATTCTACAACTAGAATTCATCACACAAGCATGCATATTGAATTTAAGAACTTATGTGATGCAAGCAAGCACATGAATATGCTCATATCAAATGCAATCAATCAAAGTTCATGAGCTTGTTCCCCCTACTTGTGTGCTTCTCTTGTCCAAGAATTTTGATCCATCTCTTTTCTTCAATGTTGCTCCCTCTTTGTCCATGTCCATGTCCATGTCCAACCTCTACTTCTTTGATATTTCATATCTTATCTCTCCCCCTTGTACAATCTTAATCTCAAAGCTTT